CGCGCAGGCCCCCGCCGTGGCGACCTCCTGCTCGGGCCCGCGCACCGGTGTCCTGCCGTTACTGCTGGGCGCGCTGATGGCCGAGGGACAGGGCCTCCTGGCTCTCACAGCACGCGGCGCGAGCGGCCCGGACCGCACGGCGGGACGCTCTCCACTCCTCTGATACCTGGGGCACCACGGTTCTGATCCAAGACAGGAGGGAGCTCGAGGAGATTGTCTCCATGCTGTAACTGCCTCCCGGTTTGAAGAACGTGGTGAGAAATTTCAGCATTGTTCAGCGGACTGAAAGTTTCACCTTCCTGTACTCTGGTAAGTTCGGGGGCGAAGCGTGACTGTCTCAGTGCTCTCCTGAGACAGGACTGTGGGTCTTTTTCACCAACGTGACATTCAGCGGTGAGCAGCATCTTACTTGCAGATACATTGCCAAGTTACTCTCGACCCGTTCAAGCTGAAGCCTCATGTGAAGGTTTTTGTAGACGTAGTTGTTCCTGTGGTCAGTTTAAAGACCCAAAGAAAAGGGTGAGGCGTAGTTGTGAAATCTGCGTTCCGTTTTGCAACTGATAAAAGCAACTTGAATTTCACACTATATCCCTTTTTTAATTTTTGGTACCTTAGTTACTTAACAGAGATTTATATGTAAAATAAAAGTATGCGTTCAGCAATTTAGAAGCATGTTTAGACATTGTGTGTGTGTTTATGCTTCTTTTAACGGGTTAAAAATCTTAGAGCAGAGAGATATCAGGTGATAGTGGAAGGTCTGTCTGCAAGAGAAATCCAGTCTTATTGTGTCTTGGGGGAAATAGAACTTCTCTGTGTGCTTTTAAGGAACAATTTATGTACTTTCTCCCCAGTCCTCGGAAATACTAAAAAAAAAAAGTTCACCAATAACCTTGAAGTGTCCGAGTGGATCCAGAGCTGGCTGTGATCTGAGCCCTCGCTCCTGCCAGCGAGATGAACTGTTCTCATCTGGCTGCCATGTGGACCTAATAATGAGGCCCGTTCTGTGAGCTTTCAGAGTGGGCAGCTAGCACAGAGGGCCCGCCGCAGCACCGTTGGAGAATCGCCTGTTTCAACCTTGCACTTAAAAAAGAGAGAGAGGTGAGGGCGGTGGAAGATGAGGCTGCAAGCACATTTCTCACGGATGGTCTAAACGGGGGGACTGAGAGCGTCGGAGTTTATTAATGACCAGGTGGTCTCGACCCGACAAGCTCGCCTCTTCCTTCACAATAAAAAAAGAACACTCCAGCGAGAGTTGTCCAGCTGGACTGGGTCAGCAGCAGTTCCCCTGCACGCGTACGTGTACGAGGAGTGCCCCGTGCTCGCGTACAGAGAGTGACCTGTGCTCGTGTACAGAGAGTGAGTGAGTGAGTGAGAGAGAGAGTGATTGTGTGTGCGTGTCTGTCCCTGTCCCTGTCCCTGTCCCTGTCCCTGTCCCTGTGCCTGTGTGAGTGTGTGTGCGTCCCTGTCCCTGTCTTAAGGGGGACTTACGTGTCGTATTTGTAGTTAGTTAGTAGTTAGTAGTGATTTTTTTTAATGAAATGACGTTGGGAATGATTGCGGTTTGGCAAAGCTGAGTCTGAGTGAACGTGACTGCCATCATCCCTCCTGCACTTTCATTGTAAACTCCTTTTTACAGCACTGGACACAGGTCAGGCAGCTGCTGTTCACTTCACATCCCCGCAGGGCTAGGGGTCAGGTGCCCTCCGCCAGTCTCCTAAGCACAGCCCGCAGGTGACTCCGATCGCTCATTCAGGTATCCTGACAGTGATTAGGATAGCTGACATGCATGCAGTGTACTGTGTGGTAATCACGATCGCAGTGCTCTAAAATCCTTCTGTAGTTTATTTTTTACAGTGACATTCCTGCACATAGAACAGTGTTTTTTGTTCTGCTGAAGACATAGTGACTGCTGTTTACCTTTTGAACAGCAGCAGGATCTCAGGGCACGTGGAACAGTTCTGATGATGCCCAGGCAAGCACCTGATTCAAGCAGGGTCTGAACACAGTGAGAGGGGTAAACCTCCACAGGAGGGTTCTGTGCAGGGAAGCAAAGAGGAAGTATGAGCTGGAGGCACATCTTTACACAAAGGGCGCGCAGAACGAGCTGTCCAGCCACACGGCTGAAGCCGATACCCTGCCGCCTTTAAAAAAAAAGATCTACCAAACGGAGCTGTAAACCCTTAAGCTCCGATTTCCAGATCACTATATTGTTTTCGTCTGCCTAGTAAGCCAGGCAGTGTACGATTTAAAGTGCAGCACACGTCATAACTGTCAAAGAGTTTCTCGTATCTGAGCAGCTTCGCTGGGATCCTGGGCTCCTGTTGCTGGGGGGGGAGAAACCCATAATCACCTGCTGTGCAAGGCAACCGAGAGCACTTTGTGGGGAAAAAAAAGGAATGCCATTCACCTCACTTTATGTTCTCTTTATTTGGCTTGCAATAAAAATATTTAATTTCTCACGTAACATACAGTAGATGCATTCAATTTTTATATCTCGATTTACATATCTGAGCCTTACTCCCCTCCACCCTCCCCAGTAAAGTGACCAGCAAGCTGTGTGGATGGGGACGGCAGCCCGTACTGTGAATTCAGAGGAGCGCTGAGCAGATGGCATGCCCGCCAAAGCTAGCTCGTCACACAGGTTCTTACAGAAATGAAGTACATCTGTACAGTATCATAAATAGGTGACCTTGCTTTACAAGCATAGAAAACACAGTAATAAATTATGTACACAATAGAAAAGGCAAGGATGAGGACAGAAAACTCATAAATATCGTTGATGCAAATATTCTAGAGTGAGATCCACCAGGAACAAATTCTGTTTTGATTTCTCCCTTCTTCAACATTCAACATCCCCTTCTTCACCTCTCTGAGCAAAATCGTTCTTTGCACCATTTTCTGCAGTGCAATGCAAAGTGCTCATCAGACATTTTCTAAATCTAAAGAACATACGCATGTATAAACATCCATGTTTTTATAGATTACAGCATGAGAAAGTGCTTCAGGAGATCAGTTTTCAGTTGACAGCAGTGTATTGAAACACGCAATCTTAAATGTTACATAAACAACATCTATAATATAAACAAGACCAAACTGCTGCTAAAATAATATAAAAATGGTATTTTGGGTGATTCTGAATCTTTTATGTATATTGCACGTATGAATGCACAGAATGAAAGGGCACTGCAGGCTGGGGTAGTTATTGTGGGACTTGTGAAGCTAATTGAAGTGTTCCGAGTATTTTCTTCATCGATGAAGGCGACATTGAAATCCAGCCTCTTCCTCTGGGAGCGAGCAGGGGAAACATTCTTTTTCCTATATTAATCTTGGCGATGATCCTCAAACAGATGCTCTTGGAAAGCCCCCTAGGTCTCCCACACACACACACTGCATCCTGAATCCGTATAGTGTTAGAAGGAGAAGGAAAAGTCAGGATGGGACCCGAGAGTCCAAAGGCTCCTACTCTTCCCACCTCCCAAACAGAAACACGACTCCGGTTGTGAAAGGAGGACAGAAGCTGGCTGGGAGCGCGAGGTGGAGCCGGGACAAAGGGTGCAGGCAGCCCCGGGAGAGAGGGGTATCCCCCCACGGACGCCAGCCGCACTCTGCTCAGCCCAGGGCCCTGATTGATCGGCCTGCAGCTCTTGTTCACCTTCCAACCTCTTTATCCAACCCGGGGCTGTGGGGGAGCCGGATCCTATCCCAGCAAGCACCTGGCGCAAGGCAGGGCACACCCTGGGTGACAACACCAGTCTACCAAAGGGCACACGATTACTCACACACTTATACCAGGGACAATAACCTGCCAGCATGTCTCCAGACTGTGGGAGGAATCCCATGTGAACCCAGGGAGAACATACAGACTCCACACAGACGGCACCCCAGGAATTGAACCCAGGGCCCCAGTGCTGCCGGGTAGCAATGCTGACCACTGAGCAGCTGTGCCACACATGTGTGAAATTGAGCATGATAAATGCATTGACAATGTTTATCTTTTGTTTGATAAACATCGTCTCTAATGGGCTCTAAGAAATTGATTAAGGCTGTTGTGAGAGAAGAGAAGACATATTCTGATTAAAACAACTCGGGCAGGCAAGTGCACCAGAGCTCCACAGTGCACAGAGTTTCCCTCTTGGCCTACAGGCGCACATACAACACGCTTCACATTATTCACACTTCTTACGGATGGATTTTACCTCCGTTTATCCTGCTACAGTATGTCGTCTTCTTTTTTTTTTGGCAAACATCCAGTACTGTTTTACTGAAAGAACAACCTGTCTGGAGCACGAGGTCCATGGTGTGAGAGTGGGCATCACGCACGGGCACTTTCCATTTCCAAAGATTCCATTTCTCCTCGGCTCCACAGGCCCGGCCTGGTGCTGAGCCGGTGGCAGGGAGGGAGTGATGGCTGACGAGAGGGCTCGGCCCCCAGGTCCGGCTTCCCTCCTGTGGTGGGCAGACTGTAGGTCTCTCTGCAGCACCGCACTGTCCCATTACTCGCTGTGCCCAACTGGAAGCGCTGCCCCATGGTCAGAGATGAGCCTGCGCCTGGTGTACCGGGGCAGTTCCAAAGCGAGTCTGGGCAGTGTGACTGTCTGCCCCAGCAGGCGGCCGGTCCACTGGCCTGGCAGAGCTAGCTGCTGTCCAGGGAGTGGTGCAGTGGGCAGCCCGTGAGAGACCAGCATCAGATCCTGGCTCCTTACCCTGTCAGGATTAAATTACATCACCCCCGTCCTTAGACAGGGAAGAATGCCACCATGCCAGAAGACCGGTGCTGTCCCGCCCCCCCAGTGGAGCCCACAACCAGTTCAGTGCCAAACTAGCCCTTTCTCATGACCAGAACTAAACTCAGCTCGAGCGTTTCTTGCCTTCCTCAGGCTTAAATAAGTGGGTGCATGAAGCATCACTGTTTAACTGGGTAAAACTGAGGCCCCTCGTCGCAGCTGCTGAAACAGCTCATCTCTGAGCTTGCTGTGTGTCGCTATGCAAATAAGGGACTAACCATTCAAACCTCAGTGACGAGCCAGTGGTGGGAAAAACGATACCGGAGACTGACCATCACATCTGTGGGTATCCTTCAGCAGAATTCCTTCCTGGAGAAAGGTAGATCATGCCTTTAAATCAAACCCATTAGCTTGAGATTGCTCACACTGTTCTGGGGGGGTTCAAGTACCGTTTACTTTCTACCCTCCTGAAAAAAAGAACTGTTTTTTTACAATGATCATTACAGTATATGTTTCTGCCTATCGTACACAAAGAAAATAAATTGAGGACAGTAGAAGACGAGGGACTGGGCAGGCGGTGGGTCCAGGACTGCCCTTTCATCGCCCCTGTGCTGGGTGGGCTAGCCAGGATTGTTTTTCTTCCTCTTGCTGGGGCTGTGACCGAGATCTGGTTTCAGCTCCTGGTACTGCACCTGTTAAAACACACAGACACACACACAGGCTGCAGTCAGGTGGAGACTGAGAAGCAGCCGTCTCTCTTCAAAGAGCAAAAGGCATAGCTGGAAAGAGATTAGACAAAAGAAAACATCCTGGGAAAAGACAGGGACTGCACCCAAAAAAGGGTCCCATGGAGCATCCTGACAGGAACAGGAGGCGTTAGCTCTTTCCCAGACTCCACTGCCTCGAAACAGTGGTCTCAGAGCGACAGTGAGTGGACGGCTTGTGGAAACCGTTCAGTGTGCACTTCAGCATCAGCGACGTCAGGTCTTCGCAAGAAGGTTCGCTGTGTTTACTTGGGAAGGTCAAGAATTGAACCTGGGCTTTGGCACATCCACTTGTGTGTGTATGAAGATGTATTCATGCTATTACAGACAATTTCATGTGTGCTAGTTTACTCACAGAAAGGACAGCCTCTGGTCAGTCTCTTAACTTGATTAGGCAGCTCGGCTGAAGCAGCTCATCACATGGCCAGTGTCCTGAGTGTCTCTGGTCTCAGACCGAATCCCAGCATGTTGCCACTACTGCCTGGAGCCCGATTTTGCTTGCAAACGTAGTGGTGTTGTTAAAAATGTATGTGCAACACAGTATCAATATGATTTTATTTTGATAAAACCACAGAAGCGTTTGTTTCTCTTAAAGAGGCAGGGTCACTCTCCTGTATTCCCTGCCTGGTTTGAGTTATAGGGACATTTCTTAAGAACCCGGCTGTTCATGCAAGCAGTGACACCTCCTGCAGCACCCTTCCTGCAGTCCTGACCAGGCGGAGCTGGGCGTGAAACTGGAGGGGGTGTCTCCCCAGTGTCACCTGTGCTGGCCTGGGACTGGCAGAGCTGCGGTTTGGACACACAGACTCTCGAAGGACAGAAAAGCGGCTCAATAAACTGGAATCCAAAGTTAAACGAGCATGTTCTGAAGAAATCCAGTTCTCAGGTGACCACTGCCCTTTTAAACCTCCCAGAGTTCCCAGTGGAAACAACACGATTACCTCCAGTTTTACGCACAACAGCACAAGAACAAAGATAAAAGCAATACTGGTCACGAATAGAGACCTTGGCCAAAGGTCAGAGAAAGGGCATGTCTGAGATGTGTTCTCCCAAACTCATCTATTATATTGCACATTGAAAACACTGAAAAGAAATAAAGTTTGCTCAGAAGTACTGTTGAAAGCTCCTGTAAGCGGGGAGCTGTGTGACCTTTACCTCAATCATACATAATTAAAGAGCAGAACAAACACAGGGTACTTCATTAACTCCCTGATTCTCGAAAAAAAAAACTCATCTTCTGGCTGAGAAGCAGAGGAATTCAGTATCGTTATGCGAAAGCAGTACAACAGCTTAAATACAGAAGAAAGGTTTGAGGGCAAAGGGCACTAAGCAGGCTTCTTCAGAGGAGAAGCTTGAGAGTTCACATTCACTCACAAACCACTCCTGAAAAGCCACAAAGCCAACACATACCTGTATTTAACAAGGTGTGTCCCTCTACTTCTGCAACTGAGCATGACCAGGCAGAGGACAGACTGTGATGACCATCTCTGAATCATGAACAATGAACAGTCCCCTGACTTAGATGCAGCCCCTTGAGCGGGACAACAAACAGGAGCTCAAAGTCGATGCTCCTTGTTTTACCCCCTGTATGAAATGACTTGAGTCCATTAACAGTTCTGGATGTCAGGACATCTTTCAAGAGGTCAGGCGTTGGTCACTTAACATGAGCGTAAATATCAGAAAAGGCCCTTGTGAGCTCGTTGTGAAATCTCCCTTTTACTGTATGTGGCATATATGTCTTCCTATACCTGTTGTGCAATATCCATCTGCTGTCTTTAAGGATCTGTAAAACAGTTTAACCCCTCACACTGAGTAGGGGTGAAAGGCCATGAGCAAGGCTACTGAGGGTTCATGGGGAGCTTGGCATTCATGACCTGGATTTCACTATGCGTTCTAGAATAATCATGACCCTATACGCACTCTTAAAGAAATGACGGCACCCATGTCACAGGGGTCACAGGTCAAAGGCCACGGGAGGTCACGGGCGATCTCTGGATTAAAACAGCTGGGATTCCAAGCGGACAGACGGTGAATTACAGATATTTGACGGGGACATTATGCTTGACAGGGTTCGGTCATGTCGCCCAGCAGAACGCCGCTGGGTGAGGCATTTTCAAGCGCCCAGTGAAGATTTTGCTTTATCCCGGCCCTGCTTATCTAGAATATTAAAACACCCCTTCATGTCATCAGGATTAGACTATTGTGACACCTAACTAGGGCATCTATACGATACGAATTAGGGTTTCGAGTTTTGAGTTCTCCGGTTCTTGTGCAAACTAAAACCATTCTCCTTCAGCACATAACCCCTGTCTTGGCTGAACTGCACTGGCTCCCTGAGAAATTTACATCCTTCCAGCTTGTCCCAAGGCCAGCCGGAGCTTCAAGTGTGGAGCTCACTGCCCAAATCCATCAGAGACTCCCCCACTGTGGACTATCTAAAGCTTGCATAAAAAACTCTTTGCACTATAACTTGTAAGTTATAATTTGTTTCATTCTTGGTTTTATTTGGATATTTTACTACATTATTTTTTGTACGTTTCACATTTAATGTGATCTTTATTTTACAGTTTATTTCACATATACTCATAAATAAAATGTATTATTATATAAATGTTTATATTTAGATAAGAGTTTCACAGTCATGCCAAATAAAATTGACATTGGAGAGTGAAACTGAGATTTTATAAAGGCCATCTGTGCACACAGACTGTACTCCATAATACACTGTATTTTATAGTTTTTATTAGAGGCAAATTATACCCCCGGTGTAATTAACTTACAAAGATTAACTTCACATCCCCTGCTGAAAAGGCTGTTAAAATGCAAGAGCCCTTTTTTAACTGATTTAGCATGGAGCTAGAAGTGTGCTTTGCTGGTGTCTTTTGAAAATAATGTCTTCCAGCAATATATGGTATAACTGAGGTGAGCAAAAATAAAATATGTACTGTAACAGCACTGAGCACAACAAACTATGTTATGGCTGAACCAAACAGATTCTACACTATAACGGATCTGAGCACGGCATACTGTATATCGTATTATAGTGGTGTAGAAACTGTATATCGTACTATAGTGGTGTAGAAACTGGTTTGTGCACAGAATATGAGGTACAGTGTATAGCGGATTGGAGCAAGCAGCTGATTATGTGATATCACTGAGCATTATTCAGCAGGCCAGGGCAAGCTTTTGAGCTTTGTGAAGGAACTGCCATTTGTCCCTAACAGATCACGTTTCTCCAGTACGGACATCTGCCTGCCTGAGCCAACAGTCTTCCTTTGCAAAGTAACCTGTGTTTTCATGGAAGACAGTACACCCAGCCTCAGTATAACATTCTCTTTTCAGCGTGAAGCTGCTGAGTTTAGGACTTTTTGGTGAATAACTCGCCGAATCCAAGCATTTAGTACTATCATTTTATATACTGTACCGTGGACAAATGTCATAAATACAGCATGCCTGAGACAAAGATTATTTTGTCTGTAGCATAACCAGATTCAAAGGGACAGAAAAAACAGTTCTCTTTGATCTAGTTAGATTCGGCTTAAATCTATAAACACAATTAAACTTCAGGCTCTCTGTTTTTTAGATTTTTTAAACTACTTTACAAACCAACAACAAAACATTTCAGGAAACCTGAAGATTTGATCACATCTACACGGAGAACATACTGTAAGTGCTCTTGAAGACAAAGAAAATCCACGTGTAACCCTATGAATGCAATCCCTTCCTTGGAAAGTCATTTGAGAAACAGGCTCACGTTACATCTGCTCCACAGCAAACCTGTAAGAGCGTACTGTACAGTAGCTGTTGTTTCGTGAAGAAAAGCTGCTCCAAGGCAGATACTGTGCAGCAGTTGAGAAGTGTAACTGCAGTATGTTACTGTAGCACTTTGGAACATTTGAGGATGCAACGAGCAGCCGCCCGAGACGTTCAGTAAAGACCCTTCACAGCACAAAAGCTGCTCCACCTTAATTTCCCCATGTTGACAGTTGAACTACAAAACAATCTTTGAAGTCTCTGCTCTGGAGGGGCTCATTGTACAAGAGCTTTTAGTTTAACAGTGTCAGCCAGCGTCCCAGGGCTCGACGTGTGGAACATTTCTGTCTTCCAGTGGTTGGGGGGGGTTGGGGTTGGGGGGGGTTGTTCAGTTTGAAGCAGCATCAGCAAGAAAGAAAAATAAAAGCAGAGCATTTTTAATGATACTATAATATGCTGTTTCTGAAACAAGTGCATGCCTCATCTCCTGTGATGCCTAACCTAGCGTTATGGTGCTAAACGATATGAAAGCAGAGGCACTGCCGGCGGGAGACTCGGGCTTTGAAATCTATCGTTGAGAGAGAGAAGCTGGAGACGCACGGCGGGGAGAAACCCCCAAAAAACAACTTTGCAAGGTGCTGGGTGGCCCTGAGATTGAGCCTAATTGCTTGTGGAAGCTCTCCTCCCCTCTGTGACGCCGGGGCGGAGGTGGGCATGGCAGCCCTTCTGCGGAGAGGCGTTCACAAGCGCCTGCAGGGTAGCCCAAGAAGCCACACGCCCCTGTCCGGGCAGCTGTGCCAGATCAGGACAGGAACTGTGCCAACGAAGCAGCCCAGGACCCCACAGAAGGGCAAGAAGGCAGCCTGTAAGAAAGACACCGCGCAAGGATCTCCTGGCCCCAGGAGCAACGTGCCTGGTTAGCTTTAAAGGAGAGGGACCTGTATATCGAGTGACATCAGAATCCAAGGCCATTAGATGAGGGTTTCATGAGCTGACACCACGAATTGGGAAGGCCAGCTTTATGTGATATAAGAAGTCTGAGCTTGTGCCGAATTTGGAGATTGAAGCTCCCAAATTAGTTTGTGTCACAAGTGAACGTTTGCACACCCGAAGTGCCACTTGCAAAGGTTGTGACAACAAACACCAGGAAAGCTATGTGCACAAGTGCCTGTCTGCCCTAGGCTTTCTGAGAACTAGCAGGGCCCCAACAGGAGCTCTTCATGAGCTCCCATCTGCTCCACTCACTCTCGAAGGCTTGTTGCTGCTGTTCATTGCGATCAGGGGAATATCCATCACCCGGCCGCTCCTGGTTCTGTTTCCTCGAGGTGAGTGACGAACAATCTTTCTTGCATTTGCTCTTCATGAACGTGAAGCCCGGTCAGCTTTCCCGATTTTCAGACGCAGGCACAGCGGGAAAAGTCCACATGTACTTTGAGTCGAAGCACTTAGGTTGCATGTAAGATGCTTATATTATGTGTCAGTCTCGTAGGGCTCTTGCTGCTTTACATACATTTACATATATACATGGTTGGTGGCCATTAGCTGGTTATTTGCGGAAGCAGAAGGAAGGCTGACTCTCGCAGCGGACTGCTCACCCGCATGGAAGAGCACACAGTGCACAAGCCAGGAGGGGGGAACTGTGGAGTTTCCTCTGGGGCCTTGCTGTTCTTCCTCCTTTATTTTTAACTTCCCCGCATGGAATTAACAGCAGCACCACGTGCAACAATCTCAGATAATCCAGTTCACTTCTTTAGAAAACAATGATGAGAATTATAAGAGTTTTTTTGCATTTATATAGTTTCAACCCAAAGGATCTCAAGGTACTAAACATGAACTACAGCAGGGGAACCACGTCTTCTACTACTGCACCAGCAGCCCCACCTGGGAGACACAC